GTATCTTTTGCAGAAGTTTGAGCCTAACGTTAGTATGTGTCACCAGGGCCTAATGTCATTTGAGGGATTTGCAAGGTAATTTTTGAAATATCTTTTCTCATCATTTAAGGGTATCATTTTTCCCATACAGTCTTAAGAAAATTTATTTCACCTAGGTTCCTGATGGATAAAGATAATTTTGCCTCAAAAAATGATGAGTCGCAGGAGAACATTAAAGAATTGCAGCTACCCCTCTCCTACTACTACATTGAATCTTCACACAATACCTACCTCACAGGCCATCAGCTCAAAGGAGAATCCTCAGTAGAACTCTACAGCCAGGTAATGAGAATTCCACTTGGAATATTGTTTTCATTAACCCTTATTATTTTCACAACCTCTGTGGCCACAAAAAACTGGACCCCAGATTCCTTTGAAGAGCTTGCAGAGTAAACTACTACGTTTGAAATGTGAGGAACAATAATGTGTGGGAAAACTGCCTATGCGTACAGTTTTTGTTTTTGTTTTCCCTCTATCTATACTTAACCTTTATTCTAGGCACACACACACATACACAAGTATTTGTTTGAGAGTCATAGCCTTTAGATCCTAGTCTGACCTACCTCTACTAAAATTAGATTTTCCCATGGGAAAATTATCTAATCGTTTCATAAATGCTAAATAAATCAATATATCGTAGTGGGAAAGCATAGTAGAAAATGCAGTTTTCTATGGAGTTATTCCCAAAGATATTGTTTGTTTTGCTTTGCAGTTTGTTAGACAATCGGTCCATCCCTATGGTAACCAACTTAGAAAAAAATCTGCCTAGAGTGAAGGCACTGTCTCTACACATGGGAGATTCATGGGAATGTTCTTTAAAACTCAGTAGGCTCTCTAGACTAGAGACACTACGTCTTTTTGACCTACACATCCAACTTTTAGTGATCTGCATTTAATTGCCTTTCTGTGTCTATTGCCTACAACCTCCTCATCTATGCTGCCTGTGTTCGTAACTCCTACAAGAAAAGTTAAGTGAGAACGAGCTAGACTAGGCCGAGGAGATGTGTGTGAGAGTGTATGTGTGTGTGTGTCTGTCTGCATTTGAGAATTATAATTATATTGCTTATGCAAACCCTGCAGCGATGATTTGTTTTCCAGATTAGTCCAGATATTCCTGAAAGCATAGGGCAAATTTCTATCCCAATGCTGATCTAGCATGGAATATATATTTTAGACCCTATATTCTAAGGTAATTTCATTTTTTAAAGAAGATGCGTCCTTAGAGTAGTGGTTTCAAAATAGGAGTCTGTCACCAGGCCTTAGTGGCTAAGATTGAGATGAACAAGCAACAGACTAGGAGGGGTCATGTACTCTGCCCTACTTCTGCCCAAGTACTACTCTTTTATGTGCTTTACATATTGGCCTTCCATTTGCACAGAGAATTCCAAGGTTAAAAGAGTTTAATATCCATTTTTCTACGGGAAAGAAATGAAATGTATATACATAAACATATATACACATATATTTGTATATATATCATACATACATATGTGTGCACATATATGTATATTTACATATGTGTGTGTTTCTCCCAGAAAAACAAGCCAGGACCAATGTCCTAGATTTAATTCTCACTTCACTTTCCTATTTGACTTCCAGTTTTTTTTAATCCTTAACATTATACCCCAAGTAGAGATTGTCGCAGCTAAAAAAGTCACAAGACACTACAAATAGGCTCTCAGACGTGTTTAAACCTAGCATGAAGATCCCTTTTACTTCATTTCTTACCACTCTCCCTTGACTCCCCTAATTATCCCCTACTACTTCTCTGGGTAGAAGGAGCCCTGGTGGCTCAATGGTTAAGAGCTCGGCTGCTAACTGAAAGGTTGATGGTTCAAACCTACCAGCAGCTCCACGGGAGAAAAGACCTGGCGATCTGCTCCCATAAAGATTACAGCCTAGGAGACCCTATGGGGCACTTTTACTCTGTCCTGTAGGGTTGTTATGACTCAGAATCAACAGCGCACAGCAGCAATTCCCGTATGGAACAAATAGCAGGTGAGAATGAGCCCTGTATTTGTCATCTAGAGATTCCAACTCTGACTTTCCTTCTCTAGCCATGTATGGAAGTCTTAGGGTCATGCAGACTTTGGTAAAGACCTTTAGTCCATCACACTGAGAAGCCATCCAGTGTGTCAGCAGTTGGTGAACATTCTTCCCAGGCAGGCAGCCTAACCACAAAGATGAAGCAGCCTCATGTTCTGGCTGCCATATCCCACAGCAACTTTCAGCCAAGGCAGTACCACTAGATACTCTAGCTGCTGAAAGAAGCTGATAACCTTGGGATTCTAGGCTACAGAATCTAGCAATTATCTCAAACAAAATAAGAGGCATTCCACTAGCTGAGTTTTGTTGCAGCAACTCTAGTGGCTGCTAGCCTCTAGTACTGTATTTCTGTCACGTGGAAATAGTCATGATACAGCTGCCTCTTGATTTGGGTTACTCTTCCATTATGTGTCAGTCTTTTAAAGTAGTATACAGTTAGAGTCACATGGAGGAAGAGGTTGCTCCAAGCAAACGTTGTAGAGCTGCAGCTCAAGCACTTGTGTCAGGAACTCTTCTTCCAGCTCTAGACCCAGGATAGCAAATAGGTATCATCTCATCTGATTTATTGATAGTTCCGTGGAACACTTCACTGAAGAGGTTATGAGATAACAGACCAAAGCTTAGGGAGCAAGTGTGCTGTGATTGATTATTGATATCTGCCATAGATATGGAGAGGGGAATTTATGGATTGTTTGCCATCTCTGCTGTAGATGCTGTTCTTGGATTAGACACAAGGCAGATCCTTGATGACTTCTTGCTTCTACTCTTCTTATATGCTACATGTCCATAGCAGAGGTTTTAGCTGATAGCACAATTTTGATCTAAATGGAGGAGATTTTATCCTGATTGGCTTAATATAAATGTTTGGTCAGTTGATTAAGGAATCAGTGCCCTCATATCCTCTGGGCTGTGGCATCAGCACCTTTGCCTCCACTGACGTCTGCCCATATAGAGCACTGCTGCCCTTGTCTGGCTCTCTAGTTTCAGGATGTGCCATGTATGGGCCCTGGAGGGACCAAAGTTGCTGGGAAAATGGTCATATGTTTTTGCTATCAAATGTTACCTTCCAACAATATTCAGTTCTGGTAAATACTCTTTCCACCTTAATCTGTTCTCTCCCTTTCCTACCTCAGATTAATTCTGGCCTTTGGCCAAAGTGCAGTATTTATTTTAAATCTCACGTTCTTTTACTTTAGTTCTGAATGTGAACACTGACTGATATGCAGGAGAATGTGCTAGGTTTAGTCTGAGGCTGTATCTCTGGGTGCTCATCTGGGTGGACTCATAAATTGATCACACAGGTTCTCCTGCAAGGCTGTAGGAGCGTGGAGTTGGACTGCTGGGATGGAGATGATGGGATGCCAATCATTTATCATGGACATACACTGACAACCAAGATCCCCTTCAAGGTAATGCTTCATAGCTTTTTTTAAATCAAATCACAAAGAGGCATTGTCTTCATTCATCATCTAAATTAGTGTCTCTACCAAATTATACCTTAGGTCAAGGATTCTTATTCTGGAACCTTCCTGAAATTGTTAGCAGTATTGTATGGGATGTGTACATGTTCATTTTTCTGGGAGTTGTTCTAGAACTTTCTTTAGAGTCTCATTTGACCAAAGTTTAGCACCCATTACCTTAAATTAGTCATCTAATAATAATATTGTTGCATTTTTCACATCATAAGATGATATATAAAAGTCAGGGGCTCTTGTGATAAGAATTAAAGGCCAAGTGTCCCGACAAAGGCCAACATCGTATGTTAAGATATGACTAAATATTTAACGTTATAGACTAATAGAGAATTGGTTCAACTGGTCTCCCAGGATATTGGTCTCATTGAATTATTGTTTCAAGTTTTGGAAGCTTATTAGTTCAGTTGTGCAGTTGCTGTCCTCATTCAGAAGGTCTTGGGCTGTGTAACATCATTTTTTCTCTGAAGCATGGCTGGGCTTGGAAGGAATATTATTATTTCCATCTTACATGGTAGCTAAAGTACGTATTCTCTTCAACTCATTTTCCTATTCAGCTCTGTTAAAACTCTTGCACTCTTAATTATATGGGGTGGGGGGAGTTGCTAACTATGTTTATATACACGCATAAATATATGTGACATGTCTTATTGTCCCAAATAGATTATAAAGTCCTTGAATGTAGGACAGTATCTTATGCCTTATTATATTTGATGCTGTATTTAAAACAATGTCTTTTACCTAGAACACACTCAACATATATGTTGATTTGTTAAATTCACCACTATTTTGGAGCCCTGGTGGCCCAGTGGTTAAGAGCTCGGCTGCTAACCAAAAGGTGGGCAGTTTGAATCCATCAGCCACTCCTTGGAAACCCTATGCGGTAGCTCTACTCTGTCCTATAGGGTTGCTATAAGTTGGAATTGACTCGACAGCAGTGGGTTTGGTTTTTTTGTTTTAATAGCTGTTTGATTTTAATAGCTATGAGCAAACTCAGCATGAACAATTCACGTAATGTCTTTATAAAAATGGCCTTATCCTTTTGCTTGATTTGTAATGTAGCTTGGTGCTCTTATACATTTAAAAAATAAAAGCCACCTTTAGCCAGAGTCTGCTGCATATAACCATTTAGATGCGTTCTGCAGCTCTAAGTACCTTGCCTTTTGACCACCCTGGATGGATGTCTGGGCTCTAATGAGCTGTTTTGGCCCTCATAGGAAGTGGTTGAAGCCATCAATCGCAGCGCCTTCATCAACTCTGACCTGCCAATCATCATATCGATTGAGAACCACTGTTCATTGCCTCAGCAACGAAAAATGGCAGAAATTTTCAAGGTGAGCTCTTGGCTAGGAGGCAGGCTGGTATCTTGGCCTTTGTCCTGTGACTGTCATTGAGTTTTACATGGGGCCACTGGGACACATGACAGCTGGACCTTGGCCATGAAGCACGTAAGGTTCTGAGTCTTGCAGACTTGAGGACTGGGCTGCCCTGGGAGCTTGGACTCTTTCTTAAGTGGTCCCTCTTCTCAGCTGGAGTGATATAAGCATGTGATCCTCAGACCCTTTCCAGAAAGCCTTAGAAGTAGGATAGACCAACTCTTCAAGAATAGTCTAACAACTCCCTCACACAAGTTGGGGATATGGAGAGCTGAAATGTTTCAGGGAAAATAAGTTAAATCCTTTTGTGGCCCACACTACAGATGTCCAGATACAGGGCTCTAGATTGGCAAGGAGCTTGGGGTGGCCAGAACAGTTGCTATGTTAACAGTCAGCTCTTTCTTATACAAGAGAACTATAATGCAGAGATTTAGGCTCAGATATTCCATTATACTTCTCCTTCCTCGAGCAGTAGAGGCATGTGCAGGAACATGGACCTCAGTAGGAAGGAGTGAGGGGTACTGAGAGAGGAAAATGTCCCCAGATACTAACGCCAGCAAAACTAATTAGTTTTTCATGCTGCCTTTCCTTTGTTATCATTTAGAATAATGGTCTATAAACTTCTCTGATTGTATATGCTATCGGTAAAGTATTTCAGCATGTATTCCTATTGTGCATTTGTTGACTTATTTATAAATAATACACATGACCTGCTAATTAGTATATTTTATGCATTACTTAAAATGTGCAAAAAATAGAAAGTAAAAGAGAATGACATAGAAAAGATGAATAAAGAATATTTTTAAAATACTGTAATTATTAATTTAAAAGACTTTTTGCTCCCATTAAAAATAATAAAAGTATACTTATTGTTTATTTTTATCTAAACTTTTAGTGGGAGTAATGTGATTGAATATGTTGCATTATTTTTTAAATTGTTGGTTTAAGCTTTGTGATCAGTGACTTGGAAGGCTGTTGTGATCGTTAAGGTTGTGTGTCATCTTGGCTGGGCCATGATTCTCAGTGGTTTGGCTGCTATGGTGTAGTGTGGCAGTCATATGATAATGTGATCGCCTCCATGATGGGATCTGCTGTGAGTGTCCAAATCAGTTGAAAGGGAGTTTCCTTGGGGGTGTGGCCTACATCAAACATAAGTGGACTTTCTGGCAAAGTTCGTGGGCCTTTGCTTGCTCTGGATCCTACAGCTGGCTCCTATTGTCTGACCGCTGGTTCTTGGGACTTGAGCTAGAAGCTTACCTGCCATCTTCCCTGCCCATCTTGGGATTCTTCTATCTTTGCAGCCTGTGAACAAGAGCCCTGCTGTCTGACCTGCCGATCTTGGTTCTCCAGCCCCTGTGGCTACATGAATCAGGAGAATCCTCTAGCCTGACTCACGAACTGGGGACGTTCCCTTCTCTACAACTGCATGAGCTATTTCCTTGATATAAGTCTCTCTACATATATATTTATATGCTTTAGTGGTTTTGCTTCTCTAGAGAACCCAGCCTAAGACAGCTGGTTTTAAGTTTAGCTTATTATTTCAGTATTTGATTTTAGTAGCTACAGTAGCTGAAAAAGATACCTTATAAAGACACATGGATCCAGATGGAAAAAGGGTGCCATGAGCTGTACTTGCCAAACCATGATTCTCATTTCTCAGTTCCATCCATTGAAGACGCAAAGGTTTTTGATAAAATTTGGCTAGAAAATATGTGTTTCCTGATGTCAATCAGTTTGTCTTAGAAACTTATTGAAAGGGTGTTGCCGCTTATATTTTTAACAAACAAGTTCAAACTCCATGACAGCCCTTCGTTTGGAAGATTTTTAACTATTAGAAAATCTGCTTCCAAGTTTCCTGAGTGTGCACACATGAGAGATTCCAACAACAAAATCACATAACAATAGAAATATATCCAGACATCTGTTTTTAAAATACTTTTTTCTCAAGACAAATTTTGCCTAAACAGCAATTGCTTTCTCATCCACTGTTAAAACATCACCTTTACCATATACCATAACTGATTAAATGTGATTTTATTACTTTTTTTTATATTATGTAGTAACAACAAACTATTGTCACCCACTTGTCAACACAGAAAAAGTCAGACATTTTAGAACTTATTTTTAAGAAAAATGTATAACTTAGAAATACCCCTTTAACGACTTTGTTATGGTATGAAGTGTGAACTTCTATGTGACATAAAAGATTATCATGGTCATTCTTCATCTCATTATAAAATATTCTAAAGAAAAAAATTTTTTTATCAGATTAATCATAGTAGTGACACCCCATGTCACCCTAACTGCAATGATCACAATAAGCTGATAGCAAACAAAAGTGTGAGGGACTCACTGTCAGTTCCTCTGAATCATGAGGCTCCTCCTTATCTCTAAGGGAATGTCCTGAACAGCACACGGCATATGTATCTAACGTACATACTGAGTGAGGGTGCCATTTTGAATCTGTGTATTAAACAGCTTCAATTTTTGTTCTTTTTAAATTAAAAAATAACTAGAAATAGAAATTGCCATAATTTCTTCCCTCACACCAATGGATCATCCTGCGTCCACCACCGTGCTGCCCCACAGGGGGCTACACATTTCTCTTTGGAGGCTAATGCTCAGAAAATCTTTGAGAGAATGATACTGTAGTTCTGTTGTACCAACCGGGAGTAAATTCTTCCTATTTTCTTTCATCTCTGTTCCCATTCCCCACTTCCTCCAAAGTTTCTATTCTTTTGACTTCTCACCCACATCGAGAACAGACCATGTACTACAAACCACAGCCTTTAACTGTGAGTCTCTGTTTTCTTCTTTAGTATATCAGATCCCAGAGCGTTTTCCTAAATATAGAGTGAGAACTGGCCACAGCTGGGAGAGTAGCCCAGCCCTCTCCTCCTGTCCTTCTAACCAGCCCCTTCCTTCCACGCAGAATCTATGGAAGGAAAAAAACAGCTTCTTTCCTAGTTCCTCTTTCTAGGATGTTGAAAACAATTCAACTGGGCCAAAATATTTATTTGAATAATTCAAGTATAGGTAAGAGTCATTGACTGTGTGTCTTTCCTTTATTCTTTTTAGACTGTGTTTGGAGAAAAGCTGGTGGCTAAATTCTTATTTGAGAGTGATTTCTCAGATGAGCCCATGCTTCCCTCAGCTGACCAACTAAGGAGGAAAGTCCTCCTCAAAAACAAGAAGCTGAAAGCCCACCAGACGCCAGTGGATATTTTGAAGCAAAAGGTACTCTTCTCTTTTCAAAGAGGTTATGAATATGCTGTGTGCCCCCCAAAAAGAAATTGATTTCATACTAACTTTTCAGATGAACTGCTGGGTAACCAGTTTCTGAAGATTGAGTTTCCTTGAATAATATATTTGATTTTTGACTTTCCATTTCAGAGACCAATAAATACTTTCATTCCACTCCTCTAAAATTTTACTTTGTGAAATAGAGTTTCCCATGGAGAACGTACCTCTGTTATTTAATTTGTTCTGAGTGGAGTAATGTGTAGCTCTTGTCTCTGGAACTGGACTTTGGGGCTGTCAAGTCCCACAGTGGCTGCTATAGTACCCTTTATGAAGAGCCCCAAGGAGCCTGCTGGCACAGTGGTTAAGCGCCTGGCTGCTAACCGAAAGGTTGGTAGTTTGAACCCACCCAGCAGCTCCATGGGAGAAAGACCCGACATTCTGCTCCTGTAAATATCACAGCCTAGAAAACCCTATGAGGCAGTTCTTCTCTGTCACATGGGGTTGCTATGAGTCGAAAATCAACTCGACGTCACACAACAACAGCAGGAAAGCCCCTTTAGGGAGAGTATTTGGACACGGGCTTGTGCCCCCTGAGGTCTGGAGTGGAACCCCAGTAGCAGCAGCCCTATGATCCCAGCATTGAAGTGGGCAGTGTGCCACTGCAGCATGTGGACCCCAAGGCACTCCCACACCCACCTCGCCCACGGATTTCTGCACCACAGGCACCACAAACTCACCAGTGTAGGAGGGTCCTTGGCCCGAGTGTCCGTGGAAGATTTCAGATCTACAACCACTAAGTCCATATGCCAGAATGAATCTAATTACCCCACAAAATGACAGCTTCTAAAACTATTTGTCCTGTAGGAGGGCACTGTTAGCCCTACAAAGTCACTTTTGGAAATTGCAGCAACCAAGAGTGAAGATCCCTCGGCACCATGCAAGGGTAGAACAACACAGCTCAAAGAGCAGGACAAGCTCAGAGCTAAAACTAGGTCATAACCTGTTGCTGTCGAGTCAATTCCGAGTCATAGCGACCCTACAGGACAGAGTAGAACTGCCCCATAGGGTTTCCAAAGAGCAGCTAGTGGATTTGAACTGCTAACCTTTTGGTTAGCAGCCGAGCTCTTAACCACTGCGCCACCAGGGCTCCAAAACTAGGTCATAGCCTATAGCTTTTCATTTTTTGTGCGATCACCTCCAAGACTCCAATCCTGCTTTAGTGGTTTCCAGAGAGTGGAGATTTCAGCAGAAACATTCTATGTGCCCAACAAATTTGAAACCTTGGTCCTAAGTCATTTATTAAAAATGTCAAGTTACATGTCCACTTTGACTCAGGTGAGTAGTCAATTTGGAACAGTCGTCAAGTCTTGTAAAAGCTGTAACTTGTAGAAATCACAGGCAGGGCCTGAGTTTAATGATATGCAGCATGATACTGGAGAAAGAATATTACCGTATTTTTAGGCAAAGAACACACACCTTCTATGTTTGTTTGCCAACCGCTCCCTGCCCCCGAATGGTATTTTTGTATGTACCCTATGCTAATTTTTTAAAGTAACGCGTAAAAAGAATGGCAGAGCAGTGCTTATGAAAATACCTCATGGGGAGGGGAAGGAGCGGTTGGCAAACAAACACGGAAGGTGCATGTTATTTGTGTAAAAATACAGTAGATAGTGAGCTAAGATACCCGGTTCTAGCCACCGGCTCTTTCACAAACCAGCCTGTGACCATGGGCCAGTGAATCTTGCTGGGGCTCCATTTCTTCATCTGTAAAATGAGAATATTAAGATAACTACCATATTGTTACGCAAATAACGTGGGCCTTCTATGTTTTCCAACCATGCCCTGCCCGAGAGGTATTTTTGTAAGTGCTCCTATGCCAAGTTTTTTTTTTTTACACGTTGCTGTAAAAAAAATTAGGATAGCACACTTATGAAAATACCTCATGTGGAGTGGGGTGGGGGGCACAGTTAGCAAACAAACATAGAAGGCCCACGTTATTTGAGTAAAAATAGGTTATTCTGTAAGGACCATTCTGACACTAAACTCTCACAAAATCTCCCCCAAGTTGAATTGTGGTGTGGTATCCCTATCACAGTTAGAGATCACTCTGTAAACATTTTGTTATCCCACTTCTCAGTCTCCATTTCTAGTGTTTCTTGCCATTCTAGAACATTACTGTTTCTCTGAGAGGCCCCTTGGAACATCTCATCATCTGCTATTCTAATAAGTACCAGGGATTTTTCAGACTGTCCCATTCACCCACCGAGGGATTCTGGGTGGCCCACAGTAGAGGCTGATTTAGGTACTTGTTTGGAGTCCCTGAGGGGGACCAAACAGTTAATGCACTCAGCTGCTAACCAAAAGTTTGGAGGTTCTAGCCCACCAAGGCCTGGCAGTCTACTTTTAAAAAAATCAGCCATTGAAAACTGTATGCAGCACAGTTCTACTCTGA